GAAAAAAAATGTAAGTATACACAATGATATAAGGTAGATTAAAAAAAGCCGCCGAAAGAATACATCCTAAGTATAGGAGGTCAGTTACTTATCTTAAAACTCAGCGTTAAAGTCTCAGACAGTGTGGTTCATGATGACATGAGATCAAATCAAATAGGGAACAATAATCCCAATCAAGAGAACAGGTACATCTCAGTGTAGAGTTTAAGCTAGCACAAAATCTATATGCCACCACCTTCTTCTCGACTAGCTTCAATCACCTGATAAAATATGTTACTCTTTGACTAATTTCTTCAGAGTAACATTGAATTCAGTTTATGGTTTCTATCTTTACGTTGTTTTGAAGTAAGCAACAATGCAAGCATGTTCGGGATGCGTTTTTCCACCACGAAATGCAAAATTTTGCTTCAAGATTGGGTTGCATCGGCACCTGAAATAGTGATAGGAAGTGAACCAGTTGAGTGTGTTGACCGCTTCACTTATCTGGGGAGTCTGATCAGTGCTGATGGCCTGGTGACTGATGAAATTTCAGCACAGATACAGAAGGCTCGGTTGGCTTTTTCCAATCTGCGTCACTTATGGCGTAGGAGAGATATCTGTTTGCTGACTAAAGGACGAGTGTACTACGCAGTAGTTCGCTCCGTCTTACTTTATGGCTGTGAAACATGGTCGTTAAGAGTAGAAGATATTCTTAGGTTACTAGGACATCCGAGTGAGCGACGCTGTTATTAGGAAACGGGTGCTAGGTAGGAATGGCAAATCAATAAATGAAGCATTGAAACTTCAGTTGAGGTGGTTGGGACATGTGTTACGTATGGCTAACCACCGACTGCCTCGACGAGATTTGTTTTGTAGTGTAGGAGTAGGTTGGAAGAAAGTTAGGGGCGGCCAGACCAAAACATGGCACAAATCCATGAAGTCACTGACAAGTGGACTGAGTCATGTTAGTAGTTGTCGACTACCTGGTTGGGGTCCGCGAGATGACAATAATGGATGGTTAGAGACCCTGAATGACATGGCTCAAAACCGTTTGCCATGGCGCCGGTACATTTATTCTCTGTGTTCTCTCAAATCCTAATCTTCTGGATTCTTCAACACCTCTAGTTTTGTCTTTTTTAACTTATCTCACTGAAACATAATTCTTGAATAATATCTTCTAATCCTAACCTCTCCGATCACCTCTAATACCTTTACTACCTCTTATACTATTGGATTTGAATTGAAAATTATATCTCTGTGCTGATGTGGTATGGCAACATGAGCTGATGTACTTACGTACGAAGTTCTACGCTGCATCTGACTGACTTACTGACGTTGTCTTAAGTTATGAGTTTGTTTAAATAATACTTAGTTACTTGGGCCTGTTACCCCCAATGGAGCACAGGCCGCCGGCCAGTATTTTCCAACTCACTCTGTCCTGGGCCTCCTTTTCTAGTTCCGTCCAATCGTTGTTCATTCTTCTCATGTCTGTCTCCATTTCTTGGCGTAATATATTCCTTGACCGTCCTCCCTTCCTTTGACTTTGAAGACTCCAAGTGAGGGAATGTCTTATGTATTGCTTGAGACCGGCAGTAGCCCCAGAGGAGCTCTTGGTGGAGTTATATAAAACTCAACAGGTATAAATTTTCTAAACAAATAGATTACAATATGTTTAGTTCATCCTTTTAATGGTTTAATGAATAAATCTTAGGATATTGTGATTAAGGAATATTAACAATATATTATTTTCCAGTTGTTATTAGAAACTAACTGTTAACATTTTTGAGATGCTTTTTCGATGGATAAACTTTTGTAGTAAGTAACTTATCAAGAAATGACGAATTTGATTCATGTTTGTTGGGAAACATGTTGTAAAGAATTTGTTGAGTATTTGATACGAAAAGTACTAGGCTCTCGAATCCCAATGTAATCATCAGCATTGTGATACAGGTATATCAAGCTGATGCGTTTCAAAAGGGCAATGTTATCTACATACCAAATATAAATTTGGGTTGAATTAAGTGGTCACACCTTTCACAAGTTTTCTAGTTAATGTCAGTGAAAAGTTTATTTTTTCATACAAAATATTTCTACAATTATTATTTTTTTTATCCTGTACACAACAGGTTCAATGTGCTCAACAATATTCTTCCGATGATGGTTATATTATATCATCATCAACAACTTTACCATATTGTTGTAATAATCGAATAACAAAAAATCATAACAATATTTCAATGCGTAAAATGAATTCTAATCCCATTAGTAGTTGTTGTACATCATTTGAACAAACCACCGCCTCGTTACCAATAGCAACAACAATACTACCATATTGTAATCAGAGCAATTTAACCAATTATAATAATGTTAATAGTTGTAGTCTTGGTGGTAATTGCAGCAGAAATTCATCGTTTCATCAGTTGAAACCATCTCAACACCAACAATTCAATAAAGATGATACATTGACATCACCAACACATAAATATAACACTAGTAGTAATGTCGATAACAAGATTGTCAATTCTATGATGTTACAATGTCCAGAATCCTATGATTATTATCATGCTTCATTGTATTCATCTAACAGAGATTGTTGTTCAACTACAAATAATTTTATCAAACCAACATCAACATCATTGTCCTTGCCAATACAACAGCCGCAACAACAACAACAGCAACACTCACCATTTTTGGCTTCATATTCACCATGTCAAGAAAGACATTATTGTTGTAGAGATTTTGATTTGTCTAGGACACAGCTTCCATTAAAAACATGTAATCCATTGCAGTTGTCGCCGTGTATACCAACAGCACAATCAATGCATAGTTATCAATGTCAACCAAAACATCAGTCACATCAACCAATTCAAACTGTATTAATTAATCCTGATGATGAAGCATTATTTGCATGGTTAAGATCAGTTGGTCTTAATCGGTAAGTAGAAGAATGAATTATTGTTGTTTAAGCATGTTGTATCCGGTTGATACAAAACCTAACGACTGCTAATATCGATAAACGAGTTTGATTGATACAAGAGTAAGTTGTACGGGCCAAACTTGGGTCGATGCATATGTTACGTATGCACGTAAACATGTCATTTTGATATGCTTGAACTATTACAAGTTTACTGCAGTTGGAAAACGAGAGCGAGGATCTAGGATCCGGCAACACGACAGGCTATCCGAATCCGATTGTCCCAAACCTCATTAAATCAAAGAAGAAGACTTTATATGAAATAGAACCTGTAGTTTACGAACATCCAGAAAGTACGAAGTCCAAGTTCAGAAGAAAGAAAGGATCCCGGACTGAGGATCCTAAAACGTTAAAGATAATGCGTATTTATACATTTAGGTCGAATAGGGAAGAGCATTGAAGTCTGTGACATGGACAGTTAAGGCGACCAATACGAAAAAAACATTTGAAGTAACATTGATAGTCAGGACGACCAAGAAGAAACAACATTGGAGTATGTGACATTGATATCTAGGACGGCCATAACATTGACCAATAGGAATCGACCAATAGAATTTAAACTTACAAAATGTTTCTTTGTAAGATATTTGGTGAATATCCTAACAGCATATTTGTTCATTTCGTGATTGGATTACTGATTAGGAAATTATTACCATTATTCGACGGTGTATTTGTAATCATTTAAACTGTTTAAATAATTATCTGGTTGACTAAAATATTTGAGGAAATTTAAGACTTTAGTGATAGTATGATAAGTGATATTCAGTTGTTGACATTTTTTCAGTTAGGTGGTTAAAGGTAATCAAGTGGGAACTCTAGTTATAAGTTTCTTGATAGTTGACCACTCATCGGTAAAGTTCGCCCAACCACCGACTGCCTCGACGAGCTATGTTTTGTAGTGTAGGAGTAGGTTGGAAGAAAGTTAGGGGCAGCCAGACCAAAACATGGCCGAAATCCATGAAGTCACTGACAAGTGAACTGAGTCATGTTGGTAGATGTAGGCTATCTGGTTGGGGTCCGCGAGATGAAAGTCTTCGATGGTTAGAGACCTTGAACGACACCGCTCAAAATCGTTTGCTATGGTGCAGGTGCATTCATTCATTGTGTTCTCCCAAATTCTAAACTCCTTGACTCCTCATCATCTCTGTCTTTCTCTCTCTATAGTTATCTCACTGAATTATACTTCATGAATAACATCTTCGAACCCTAATCTTCTCTATTACTGCTAATACTCTACTATTGCTACCTCTATAGGATTTGAACTGACGGTTGCTTCTCTATGCTGATGCGGTATAGCAACCTGAACTTATGTACCTACGTAAGAAGTTCTATATTGTAACTGATTGATTGACTGACTGAATCATTTAACTGATTAAATAATTATCTGGTTGACTGAAATATTTGAGAAATATTTGGTGATAGTATAACAAATGATAATCATTTGTTGACATTTTTCCAGTTAGATGGTTGAACGTTTATGTTTCTTGATAATTGACACTCGTCAATAAAGCGCAATTGTAATCTCAAAGGAATAGATGCTCTTTTTTTTGGATTTGGTTTCATATAACCGTTATTCATAGTATGAGATCTTACCATTTAGCTAGTTCGGCGCGAGACTGATTTCCCCTTGGGACAGGACATCTGTAAATTAATCATCACTGAATAGTGACTAATGTCATGTTTGTTTCATTCTTTAAGTTTCTGAATTTCAAGAGCGCACACTTACGTTTTACGCTCTCATAAAAAAAACATTTTAAAGTGACATGATAAGGAAGTATTTTAGGTTGAACAATTATTTGCTAGAGCTCTGTCATCAGTACGAAATTTCAGTCGACTAATCTGCACACTTTCTCCCTCTAATATGAGATATCTTCAGAGTGCATAACCTTAACCACTTTATATGTAGTAGAACCCAAGATTTCTAGGTGTCACAATGATTACTATGAAATTTGGCCATTGAATCACAGTCAAGTCGAAGATATTTCCAATCCGAAATAATTTATAATATGGTGTAATACTCCCTTGATATTATCAATGGATTGCTATATCACGAACAACGTGGTTGGTTCTATCGAGCATAGTGTCTTCCTACAGTTGTGGGAGAGCTTTGTAGCGAAACATTTTTTTGGTGTTTCTGAGTTAACTAAGCACTTTCTTTATGTAGAAGCGCTTATGTTATTATCCAGAGTAATAATAAAGGTTCAACAATTAAATCATTTAGTTCAGAGCGTTTAGCAACACTAAAGCATCTACTTATGCTACAAATCTTTTATACCATTTTAGAGAAATAAGTCACTAACGGTCTGCACCTGAGGTGGTCAAATACCTCATTGTTCTAAAATCGTTTTTTAACTGGTGTCAGTTTGTAATGAGAATCACTATCAGTCAATTAATTTGTTGCTTGTTATTGTCATATATTTAATGTTCATTTGTTAGTTATGACTTTTATGACCTCAAAATCCTTTTGAGTTAAGAACCAACCAGTTGCGAGTTCACCTTAAGCCTGTCCAATCAAAAACTCTCTCTCCTCAATCAGTAACACGAATGACTGAAAACAACGGCCAACAATTCTTATTAGTCCAACGACTATTACCTGTTGTCAATAACCTGTTAAAAGATGAATATTACTTACTTACGCCTATCATGCCTTGTGGTTATCGGCCAGTATTCGCCAAACAACCCTGTCCTGGGTTTTCCTTTCCAGTTCTAACCAATTACTATTCATTCTAGTCATATCTGTCTCCGATTCTCGGCACTGTGCTTTCCTTGGTCTACCTCTTCTCTGGTTTTGACAGTTCCAAGTTAGGGTTTGCCTCGTGATGCATTCAGGTGGTTTCATGAATGTGTGTTCTATCTGTAGTGCACTGGCGAGCGAATGAGCGACTGAAGCGAATCGTATGAACAAGCGCTCAAAGATAAAATCGTCATGCGAGCGCCGGAAAGAAGGCAAGCGAATGAATAGGCGAATAAACGGATGAAGCGCGTTGGAGAAGGCCAATAAGCCAAGTCAAAGAGATAGAGCGTGACTAAGAATATATAGTCAGATAGATATAAGACAGACATGCGACAAATCAGACAATAATAAGAACGTATGGTACATATAAATTTTTGCAATACAAATGGCTTGGTTAAATAAATTAATCGAAAGGGCTTAACCAAATTAAATATAAGCGAACTCGAATATACGTGGAAGCAC